CTTGTAGCTTGAAAGAGACGTTTCAACCCAAGAGAATATTTACAGAGACTGTGAATGTGCGCAGCTCAAGAAGTTTTAGAGACATCCCTGGAAAACCCATCACAGGCATGCACACAGCCCTGCACAGTTCGCTAAGGGCTATAACGTGCACTGCTTCCGGAAGAGAGTGTAATTATGACCTGCGGTGCACAGAGGAAGAAAACGTGTCTTAGATTATAGATTATCCAAGTCCCCAGAGCAGGAGAAAAAGATCTGGAACATGAATGCAAATCTTCCGGCTCTGAATGCCCCTGGCTATCCACCACACCTTCATCCGCTGGCCCCTCGTAGGTTGTTGAAATAATCTGGCCAGAGATAATCTGGGAGCCGTGTCTGTTTAAAGTTGACAGCAAAGAGGGGAGATCTCTGGTGGCGAGCAAGCATCCGAAGGTGGGGAGCGAAGGGGGGAGGGGGACGAGGAAAACCAAACAGAGAATACCTCGTGGAAGTTTTGTTTTGTTTTGTTCGAAACACTGTGATTATTCTCTTAACGTCCAATCGTAAGTGCCTGTTCTCCCCTGCCTGCTGTCCCAACTCCAGATGTCTTGAAAGACAGATGCTTCAGCATGTCAAACTTTTGGCCCCTTTAAAATGACAACGTACGGTTCCTGAAACACTCAATTACCAAAAATAATTGTGCCGCACTTAATAAATCTTCAGCGATGCCGTAAGCATATGGGCGAGGCCGTATGGTAGATGTCATATAGCAAGAATAATTGTAACAGATGTGCTCCTACCAAAGTTCTTTCTGGAACCGCCCCTGCTGGAAAATAGACACTCTTGTATCCTACTCCTTATTCCACGATTGAAAAGTAGAGCACATTAATGAATGGTCCAGCCTTACAGGAAAAAATATACATTATAGGATTTGGCCCGATGCCCCCACCAGAGTTCCCAAGACAACCCTTGTCCACCCTCACAATTCCAGGCTCTTTTGTATACCGGAGCCTGCATGGACTCTTCTGGAGGCCTTCCCTTTCCTTCCTCCTCTCTCCTGCCACAGGAGAGTCTATAACTCTCATCCGCCTCTCCCCCCACAAGCAAAACAAAACAGAAAATGCCATCAGGTGGACAAACGTTCAATTCTAGAACCCCTATCTATCCCTTCGTGGGTGTAGCTATGGCGCTTTCCTGAGTCACCTTAACTCTCAGGCAGAAGAAGGAGGTCACTGACCCTGGTACCCCGAGGCCACTTTATGCTACAGCAGTGGCCTGAGATGCCCTCTCTGCCCTGTAAGCCGACTCAGCCCCCAAATGCCTGACGCCCGAGTAGTCTTCTGTCTTGGGTCTTCTGGTCTCATGGCTTTCCCGCTTGAACCGCTGCTGGGTCCCCATCTTCCAAGTTCAAATCTCAGAGGCAGTCAGAGAGCCCTATGAGAGCCGTGAAGAGAGTTCAAGCACGCACCAGGGAGGTACCCCCTCGTAGAGCCAGCATTCTTATACTGGCTCCCAGGTCTAGAAAGACTGAGTCAGCAAGGAGAGATATCCCCATCCAGCTTCTCCAGGAGCCAGGAACAGGCAGAGTCTCCTATGCTCTAACCCATCAGACTCCTCTTCTATCCACAGCAGACTGGATTCAGTTTGGGCTCCCAACCTCTGGGTTCCTCTGCAGTACAGACAATGGAGGACCATGAATCGAGGTGGAGACAGTTGGGAATCACCATCTCACGTTCCTCTGTGAGGCGCTCAGAGTGCTTGATCCCCCTACATACTACTCATGAGTTCTCCAGCCTCAACCTTTATCCCTAACTCTGCCCCGCCCCCTCTGAGAACCTCATCTCCAATTCCATCAAGAAAATTGCCTCCTCCCACCCAACCACCAATCACATTATCTCCGTACCCATCGCTCTTCGTTACTCCATTTCGTTCTTCCCGTTCACGAGTATTGCCCACGCCCGTGCCTTTGACATCACCCCCTCCACCTCCTTGGAAAACATTTTTCATCCTTCTTTACCTCCCTGCCCTGGATCTGAACTCTCTCCCTCTCTCTCCTGGCGCTTTCCCTTTAGTAAATAAGCCTGCTTGTCTCCCCCATTCTTTTTCAAAATTCCTACCTTAACCCTGTGTGGTAGATAGAATAACACCCCGTCTGCCTTGAGCACGTCCACATTCTAGTCCTGGGAACATGTGCATATGATCCTTTACATGGCAAAAAAAGACGTTTGCAGATGTGATTAAGTATCTTGAGATGGGGAGATGATTCTGGATTATGTGGGTGGACCCAAGGTAATCACAAGGGTCCTTATAAGAGGAAGGCAGAAGGGTCAGAGCAAGGGAAGGAGATACGATGGCAGAAACATAGGTCAAAGTGATGCCACTGGTGGAAGGGAAGCATGAGTCAAAGAATACAGACAATCTCTACAAGGTTAGAGGCAAGGAAAACACTCTCCATAGTCTTCGAAAGGAGTGGAGTCCTGCCAACATCTTGACTTTTGCCTAGAAGACCTGTTTTCCAACTTCTAACTTCCACAACGGTAAGATAATAATGTTTTGGCCGTTTTCCGCCACTGAGTTTCTGCCACTTGTTACAGCAGCGATAGGAGGCTTATACGCCCTGCATCCTTCTTCAGCTAATCTCCAAGCCTCTCTTCTCTCTCATCCAAACTGGCTCACATTCTTTCCCCATTAACCCCTCAAATCACTGTAATGTCTTCTCAGAGAGAAACACCCAAGGTAGTTTCCTATCAATTCCTGTTCTGGAACATTCCCACATCTAGAACATAGTCTCTTGGTCCCCTTCCCAGAGCATTGGCTATAGCTCGAGAAGGTAACCCATAAGATCTCGAAAGCAGAACCTGTTGCCTCAGACCCTGATTGCCTTGAGCGTTGTTTGTTTCTGAATAAGAGACTCTCCACTATTTTGCAGGTCTTCTCTTCTCCGTGGCTGCGAATAATTCCATGTGTGGATTTCTTGGAAGAAAGGGCAACGTGGGAACACCTGGTTAAATGTATTTTACCCATTGCTTATATCCCTTCAAATTCCCCCACGCCCTCTGTCGGCTCTGATCCCTCACCCTGGTCCCAGTCCCTCCACCACCACCTTCCCCCCACCAGAGACAAGACTGCCTTTCCGGAGCCTTCGTCCAGCCAGCCTCCCGTTGCCCATTGGAATCCCGCCCCTCTCCAAACTCACAGCATGTCTACGCTTACCCTCTTTTGACGCTAACCCGCAGGTGAGGTCCCGGCTCCCCTCCCTTCTCCAGACCCGTCCTGGTCTCGGAGGTCAGCTGCTCTGTCTTTTCCCCGTGCCCCTTCTCCTGAGCCCCCCCACTGTCGGTGCCATCTGGGTCGATGAGGAAGACGGTGTATCGACGTGTCTTCAGTGCCAGTGGATGGAGACTGCTACGAAGCCCGGTGTCTATGGTTTTCTCTGCACGTGGAGGGGTCTGTGAGAGTCGTCCTTAAGAACCGGCTACCTCACGTCTCCGCCTCCGCAAGGCTGTCCCGTTTGGCCTACTTTCTTCTTGCTCCCGTCTCTTCTGGCGACCAGCTCTCTCAGCCCGGCTGCCTGTGGAACTGCCACCTCCGATACTTTCTTTCTGTTTGAGCTCAGAGCTCTGAGACAAGGTCTCGATCTGAGCCCCTCCTTGAAGGAGATTCGGCAGCTGAAACTGTCCCGCACCCGACCCCCGCCGTCCTTCACCCGACCCCCGCGAGCTCCGGGATGGCCTTCGGGTGGAACCACGCAGCCACCCCCGGGGGTCTCGGCCTTTTCCTTCCTTACGGACAAGCGCACCTGTTTCAGCCCCTGTTTCCTCCCCGAAATGGAATTGACCGAGAACGACAGTGGACAAATGAGAGCACGATTCAGAGTATAAAATATCTGACCGCCAAAATGTGTTTTTTTAAGTTTTTAAGATGGAAGGGTGGGAAGAGACAAGTAAGAAACTCTCCTAGATGTAGGCACCAAATCTAGAAGGTCAGAGACGATCGAAATGTAAGCTCCAGAAAGATGTATTAGCACAGGGAGAATCCTATTCAAAAATGAGAGAAAATTTCCCCAGCTTAAGGGAAACGCTGGCCTTCAAAGTAAAAGGCCCCACATGGGGCGGCTGGATGGCTCAGTCAGTGAAGCGTCCGACTTCGGCTCAGGTCATGACCTTGCGGTTCGTGGGTTCGAGCCCCTTGTCGGGCTCTGTGCTGGCAGCTCAGAGCCTGGAGGCTGCTTCCGATTCTGTGTCTCCCTCTCTCTCTGCCCCTAACTCACTCGCATTCTGTCTCTGTCTCTCTCAAAAATAAACATTAAAAAAAATTTTTTTTTAAATATGAAAAGACCCCAGAAAGTGCTGGATGCTGGAGAAATGACCCACAGCCAGACACGCCTCTGAGAGCTGTCAGATCATTAGAATGAAGCAGTGACTCTAAGACTCCTACAGTCCAAAGAAAGAAAAGCAGGTGACTTAAAATGAAATAAAATTTCAACAAGATCCTCATCCGTGATCCCAGGTGATCTATGACAGTAGAACACCTGTTCTTTCTTTTTTTTTTTAAGATTTTTTTTTTAAATTTTTTTTTCAATGTTTATTTATTTTTGGGACAGAGAGAGAGCATGAACGGGGGAGGGGCAGAGAGAGAGGGAGACACAGAATCGGAAACAGGCTCCAGGCTCTGAGCCATCAGCCCAGAGCCCGACACGAGGCTCGAACTCACGGACCGCGAGATCGTGACCTGGCTGAAGTCGGACGCTTAACTGACTGCGCCACCCAGGCGCCCCTAAGATTTTGTTTTTAAGCGATCTCTTCACCCAGCCTGAGGCCCGAACTCACAACCCCAAGATCAATGATCACTCGCTCCACCGGCTCAACCCGCCAGGCGCCCTGAACACCCCCATTCTTTTGATGGACCAGCGCCTTCAGGAGTTCAAGCAGCTGATTGGTCGGAGGAAATTAGAGTCACAAAACAGTAGGTCCCACCCAGCAGAGCCAGGAAGGCCTGTCCCCTGGGCCACCAATGCCCCAGACCTGGAAACCCGCAGTGCAGAGGGCAACAGGCCGACTGCAATCGGGTGGTCTCACGTCCCGTCCACGGGTGTCTATGGCGCACATACGACAGAGAGGCAGAGGACGCGGTGAGGACACAGACGCCGTCCCCGCTCTCATGGAGCCCACCATCTAGCCCAAAGGACACAAGCCACGGTCAGCCCCAGCCTCTCTTCCAGATGCACAATGTAGCTGTCCCCTGCCTCCCCCCTGGCTGCAGCTCCTCGTGAGTTGGGTGAAGCCATGGGTCCCTTGGTTGCTCAGCTGCCGGCAGTCCAGTAGGAAAAGGGGGTCCGCGAGCGACACTCCACTCTGTCCCGCCACCCGTCCTGCTTTCCAAACCAGGTTGTTAGCCTGTGTCCTTCAGCGCCCCCCCGCTTCTCTGAAGGGCAGCCGCAGGCGAGACGTCAGTGCCCCCCTTCTGTCTGGACCCCTCTGGACTGGCCCGGGCGCAAGCCCCCCCAGAGCGTGGCCTGCGGGTGCCCTCTTCTCCGAGGCAGACTTCCCCCCATTTGTGCACCCTTTTGGATTTTCGATCAGAATAGAATGGAGGTCTGGTGATACGGAGAATATGTATATGCATATTTTTATAGACATGTGATAAAACTGCCGTTTCACCCAGAATTAGAATGCGCTGAGAGATTAAAAAGAGAAAGAAGGAAAATTGGAAGTTAATTGCTGCTTTACGGCAGAGTAAGGAACGGAGAAGCGCGTTACGATCCGTCCTCCCTGAATTACAAAATAAACGGGATAAAACTTCGTTATTTTCTCTACGCAGACTCAAGTGTGGCATTGAGAGGCTCTGGTAATTAAATTTGATTGGAGCTGGATTTATAAAACAGACTGTGAGCTGTTGGGGACAAGGCCTCTGTACTGTTCACCTTCCTCTTTGCGTAAATGCTGGCTAGTTGATGCCTTGATCTGGTATGTGTAACGGAATTTGGAAATAATTGCCTATGGGATGATCAAAATGGGATTTTACTTCTCTTGATGATTCTAAGATTTTTCTAAGTAAATCACAGCCGGGCAAAAATCACGTACGTAGTTGGTAAGGGATAGCGTCGTACAGCAGGATTTGTTTTTAAAATTTTTTAACGTTTATTCGTTTTTGAGAGACAGAGACAGACAGACCGTGAGCAGGGGAGGGGCAGAGAGAGAAGGAGCCACAGAATCTGAAGCAGGCTCCGTGCCTGAGCCGTTAGCACAGAGCCTGATGTGGGGCTCGAACCCACGAACCGTGAGATCATGACCTGAGCTGAAGTCAGATGGTTAACCGACTGAGCCACCCAGCCACCCCAGGATTTATATTTAAGCACTAGAGATAATATTTTTGTGAGGGCTCTTACAAAATTAGTCATAAAAAAGCTGTTTCCCTCTCGATGAACCGCAAGGCCACCGCTCCGTGGATGTGTGAAAAGTGATGCATTCACCTGCTGGGTTTCGGAAGGATCTCCTCCATCAAGGCAGACAGACGGGCGCAGCACGGGAGAAGCCGGAGGCTGGTCCCATCGTCCAAAACAGCAGGTAGGGAGCAGGAAGCGCCTTTCTGGGGTGGCAGGAGGGAGCACGGACCGGAAGGAAAGAAGGGGACAAATCCAGGACGACAGAGTCCGTGTCGAGGCAGGGTGGGAGCAAAGGGGAAGGTAGTGCGCTCAGGGCGGCAGCTTGGGGAAAGGGAAAGGGAAATAGAAGCGAGGGGAGAAGTACACACGTGGAGAGGGGCATCCGCGGACGAAGCTGGCCGAGGGGAGGCTGCAGCAAAAGTCACTCCCCAGTCCGGGTCGCAGCACAGGGAAAGACGGAGGAACGGGTGTGTGGGGAGGGGCCTGGACACTCAGCTCCCTGTTTCCGCTTCCAAGTATCCCTTGACCCAGGGACAGTGTCCTAAACATCATCATCCACGTAGCAGGTGCCAATACACGTCCTGCACAGAACAGAACAAGACCGATCATTCCAAAACTGGCATTTAACTGAGCAGCTACTGTGGGCCACGCCCTCTGCCGGGCACCCGGCGCATGTTACTTCGCTGAATCCGTAACCACTAGCGTGCGTGAGAGAGGTTATCTATCCTCCTGTGATGGATGGGAAAAATAACCCTGAAGGAGATTAGGCCATTTTCTTCATGGCCCAACACAGAGTGGTGTTGGTGCATCTAGAAAGTCCTCGTGCCAAACAACGACAAAAGGAGAAGAATCGCACGGCGCTCTCAGAGTCCGAAAACGACCTGACGCATCTTCTCTCCTTTGGTTTCGCCGCTTACCTAGCGAAACAAGCGGGTCATCTATTAATACCCCGGTGGGAAAAGAATGAGTTAACTGGGTTGAAAATTAACTGAAAGTCACATCGCCTGGGACACGGGCCAGGACCGGGGCCGCAGCCAGATCTCCCGAGGCCCTGACCGACGACCTTCCAAACCCCGTGAGGGTTCCCGGGGAGAGCTGGGGTCCGTTCGTGAATGGAAGTGGGGGGGGGCGGTTCTCAGAGGAGCAGAGAGAGGTGAATAGGGTGAAAACGTACATCTTCCCTTTCATCTTGTATTAGGTGACGTCCCCCTGGGCGTTGGAGCAAATCAACTCCCCCATCTCTGCAGAATAACAGAGATTATTATAACAACTGTGCCATCGGCCCAGAGCCCGACGCGGGGCTCGAACTCACGGACCGCGAGATCGTGACCTGAGCTGAAGTCGGACGCTCAACCGACTGCGCCACCCAGGCGCCCCTATGTAATGCTTCTATTGCTGCACCTTGTATGAACATAGTATTGGTGACGAACATGTGGTGTGTGTGAGTCACAGAGGCCGTCGCTTTGACGGAGGCCAGCTGTCCGCCGAGAGGAAGGCACTCTGGCTGAACAGCCTCAGTTTCCAGGGCACCCTCTGCCCGCCCCGGAAGCGCCAGGCTCCCCCGCCCCATACTTCTGGGCCTCGGGGCTGTCCTGCTTGACCTTCAGCGAGACAACGGGTTCGAAGTCGCCAGCAGGCAGACGACCGCTCCGCGGTTTCCTTCTGCTCAGTCTTCCCGGGCTCCTCAGAAACCAGTGCCTCCCGCGGCGGTTTCCCCAGGCCACCTGAGACTGCGTTCCCAAGGCCAGGGTCGCCGACAAGGAGAGCCACGGGGCTCCCCGGTGCACCTGACCGCCGTGACCCGGGCGTCCGTTACCGCCTGCTGGGCTGCAGCCCGCTGAAGGGGATGCGCGTCCCTACCCCTTCCTTTAAGCTCCACATGGTCCCCTTGCCCCGGGGCCCAACCAACCCCTCTCTCCCATTTCTTCGGGGCACCGTGTGTTTCGTTCCAGACACCACACCTCAGAACTGATCAAGTCACCCCAAATGAAAAGGGCGGCCGCAGATATGACCCCCTTGGTGCCTAGACCCAGACCCTTCGGTCCCCGAAGCTCCTTGGGGTTCCCTGCGGGGCAGCCCAGGGACTGAGGATGTGATAGGAGGAGGTTCCTCCTTTGCCTGCTGTCCCTGGGTTTTTTGGGTGACAGGCCGAGCCCATTCACGTGTCTCTGGATCTGCTCTTCAAGCTCCTTCCCTCTGGGGCTCACCCTGGCCTCGTCACAGGATCCCTGCAGTCAGCCTCCTGCCCGGTCCCTGCTGCCCCATATCTGGCACCTGCAGCGCCCGGAAGCCAGCAAGAGAACCCGGATGGAGGCCGGCAGGGCTCCCATGTGCAAAGAGCCATTCATTCACCAGCCCCGTCTAGAAACATATGCTGATGCCTTCGCTCCACCAGCTCCCTTGCTGGACCGTGGGGCCAAGATCACTCATGGTCTCTCGTCCCAGACCTCATCCCAGGGCATTTCCCTACCGGGAGTGTCTCGGTCCATTCCGGCATAATCCCTTTGCGGAAACAGTGCGCTGGGCACGAGTCAGAGATCGCCATTTTAGTGGATTTTCTCTCCCGGAGGCATGGGTGGAGGAGATCTAAAATCAACCCCCTTCAAACCAAATGGCCTTGGATTCTGCTTGTTCAAGTTTCTTCATGAATCACGGGCCCTCCTCAACCCTTGGCACGGATCTCAGGAGGCACGTTCTGCTCCCTGCTGAGGGGTTGCCAGGAAGGAAGGGGAGGTGAACTCGTACCCCCCGCCCCGCAAGTGTCTACACAGCCTGGTGGCGGTTCTGGTTCCCCACCCTGCAGAGACCTGGGTCAAAGGTCGGTGTCACACCCGAGGACGGACACCCTGCCATTGTGCCTGGAAGCTGTCCCACCAGCCTCGGAAACGTCTCCTCTCCCACGTCATACTGAGGTTCACAGCAGGTGCGGGGCCCTGTTTTCCAGATCAGGCCCCTCTCCCACCTCTCTTCTCCTGGGCACGGGTGTCGCTCTAAGGTCAGCTATTCTGAGCCTCCGGCAGAGCACCTGCCACTGGGGCCAGTCCTGCTGGGCAACCGGGAGTGGGGGATGGGCAGCGGGTCCAAAAGCCTCCAATGAGAAGCCTCAGAAGAGAGGACGAAAGGTCCCGCTTCGCCGATGTCTCTCCCAAGGCTGAGGACCCTTAGTCACATCTCAGGGGCAGGGTTTCCTCCTCTTCCTTGCATGCCCCCTGTTCCCTGCCTCCCGTCCAGCTGTTTCTCCAGCCTGTGCAGCTGCCGTCTGTCCAACCCAACTGCTTTTGCGGGACCGGACATGTTTCTTTCTTTGCCTTCTCTTCCCTCGTGGCAGCAGGCCAAGCCACAGAAGCCAGCAGTCGCCGGCTACTCCAGCCGGGGTCACTGCCCGGGGCCTCTCCTCCTCCGCCACCTCAGGGACAAGCTCTGCCATTTCAGTTTCTGTCTCATCTTCAAGGCTCCCATTGGAACCGCCTGGGGTCTTGTGTTAATTTTGCCCAGTGGAGAACAAATCCTTCTCTGCGAGGCAAGCTCGAAGACTTGGATGGGGAGAGGGGGCCTGCGTAAGGAAAAAACACGGTCTCTGTTTCCCATTCAGTGGCTTTCTCCCTTAGGGTTTTCTATCGACTTCTCCAATGCCCCCACGGGTTCGGCTTGTTGGCCTGGAGGGGGACCCCCTCCCCAGCCCCCCACTGGCCTTCCCTGGACCTGGTGGGATTCTTTGTTTGAAGGGTCCGGCCAAGAGTATCTTTCCCCTCCCGCTGATGGAAATCATGAGGTTTCTGGATCCCTGCCCTGTCTGTAACCTAAGGAATTCTCATCCAGGAGCAATTTTTACACACACGCGCGTGCGTGCACGCACACACACACGCCACCAAGGAACATTTGGCAATGTCTGGAGACAGCCTCGGTTGTCGCATAGGGTGGGGGGATGCTACTGGCTTGTCGTGGGTGGGAATGCCCCTAAACATCCCACAGCGCCCAGGCGGCCTCCTCAACAAAGACGGCCTGTCCCGAGATGTCAGTAGTGGCCAGTTTGAGTGTCCTCGCCCTAAGGACTTCGATGTCAAGGGATCCATAAGGTTCTCTCCAGCCTAGCAGCCTGCGAGACCCTATCAACCTCTCCCCTTACCCTTCCTGATTCCAAGTTCTCAGTCTCAAGTGCTTGGGGTTGATTATCCAGTCAAGTGTGTAATTTCAGACAGACTCAGAATAGTAAGACCTAAGGAAAAAAGTTGCATTCACCTTAAAGAAAAAGGTAACTCATTTATACACATTGTGGCATATCTTGTGTGTTTTGTATTTGGAGGGCACCTGTCCATTCAATTTGCGTTTTTTGTTTTTTGGGTTTTTTTTGTTTTGTTTTGTTTTAGTCTCTCCAGTTGTATTATAGAACTTGCTGGGGGCATTTCGTTTTTCAAACATTTGTGGACTGCTGGGTGAAGAAGTCCCGAGCAGCTTAGAAAAAAAACGCCTTTACCAAACCTCCATAATACAGTTATATCTCCACGGAGGAACATGTGATTTTCTTTAGTACTATGTACTTCAAGTAGAGGAAATATTGACCTCTTTAAAGGTAAGGCATTTTACATCAGCAAATGTATTTAAGGAACGAAAATGAACCTTATCTCTCCGTGAAGGCTTTTACGAGATTTCCCGATAGAGAGGCGCTCTCCTCTCCCGTTGGCGACGCAGCTGGTTATCTACAGACTTGAAAGTAATCAAATTGCCTTTCTCTACACCTTTGCCTCTCCACTCGAAATCCTTGAATCCAGATTAACCTCTAGAGCGAAGGCAGATAATCGACATCTGAAAACTTGGAAGGCAGAAGCCAATTCCTCAGCCAAACGCAGGGCCCAGGGAGCCCCAAGGGAAGAAGAGGTCAGGAAAGTGTGCGTGTGTGAGCGTGATGGCCTTGTACGCGAGTGTGGGTGTGTCAGGAGGGTGGGTGGCCGCAGGAAGTGGGGGGGGATCCATCGGGAGGGGAAGGAAGGCGAAAGGAAACAAGCCGGAAGGGAAAGACAATGGCCAAAGAGGAGCTGTGACCAGCCGGTGGACAGAAAGGCAGAGGAGGGGGTGGAGGAAGAGCGAGGCCAGCACAGGGGAGCGGGGTGAGGGGCCCGGAAGACGTGCGTGTGGCACGAGCAATTCCACACTCTTGACTTCGGCAAAGCAAAACTTTAAATAAGAGAAGCTATGAATCTCTTCCTTGCAAGTTTCTTGATTCCCGAGTGCGGGACCGATGGGCAAGCCAGAAAGGTGGAGACAGGGGGAGCAGGGCGCGAGGGCCGCAAAAGCGCATTGTTGGGCCCAAGCGCGTCCTCCCTGCAGCAGGGTTAGGACCCTGGCCCCCAGCAGCAGGGCCCCTCCGGGTTGTGTCTGAGGAGCCCCACCCCCTTGCCCCCCCATCCCCATGAACTGCTGGCTTCCTTGGGTGCTCACATTGAGGTCAGATCCCTCAGCCCCTAAGAACTTCTTCCTATGGGACTCCCATGCCGCCATCTTGCCCACCCCCAAACACGCCCTGACTCTCAGCTCCTTTGCCCCGCTGGTTCACCCCAGGCTTTTCCTCCAAGACACTCGGTCTCCGCCTCCCCAGGCCCCAGCCACCACGGGGTTCTCTTTCCCTCCTGGAATGGGAGACGCTAGGGGCCCATAAAACCCTCTTCCCTCTGGTTTCTGATTCTTCGTGGCACATCACCATCTGAGGAGTCTCCTTTGGGCCACAGAATCCCCGTCACGGTAAACCCCCGAGAAGAGGTTCCTGCGACAGACCCCAGGCAGTTCAGTCGATCCTGTGGCTTCCTTCACCCCGGGGCGCCCAGCCCTTCCCGCCTTCTCTCCCCTCTCTGCCGCTTTGCTTGCAGCCAGCCAGCAACCAGCTCTTTAAGAGCTCGTCTCTGATCGCGCCTGCCCATGCCACCCTCCTTAGTCCCCGATTTTTCTCCTCCCCCCCTTTTTCCACAGTAAAAGTTTACAGCGAGAATACAGGTGCGAAAGTACTTCACCAGCGTAAATTGGGGGAGAGTCGTGTCCCACGGTGGGCCCGTCTGGGCCTTTTTTGGCGTAGAGCTGGTCCCCGTGCATGGGCCATTCTGTCTTGGACTCGCGGTGAAATTCATCGCTTGCACTCGTTTACTCACTCTCGCATCAGCACCGCAGGTATAGACTAACGGTTAGAAGCTACGCAGCCTGCTGTGGCTTGACCACACGCTCGTAAGAGAGCTGGAAAGCCCCTTGCACTAACCCACTTCTGGTCCGTGCGGCTCTGCCCCATCGTCCTGGGGGCCCAGCCCCTGCCCAGGGCCCTCCCTGGGACAGTCTCTGTCCAAACGCTTACTGATGTGCAGTCCTGGGAGACGGGCACGCGCATGTCCCTTCCAGAGGCTACTTGGCACGAGCAGTAAAGGTAGCTGATCGCCTCCAGCTACCGCATTCTGGGGATCTATTGCAACCTTCCTGCCGAGGCCCGCGCTGTCCCGGGCCAGTGTCGCGGAGGTGCTACAGCCTTGTTATTCCCGCCCGACGCGAGTCCCCTCTGATAGGAAATCTTTGCTACAGCACTCTCCAGCAGTCTCCTTCCTTCTTCTGCAGGTGTCAAGTCAGCACTGGGGTCCCCAGGCGGCCTACTGAGCCTGCTCCCTCTCTCATCCTTCACAGGACTTTCCCCGTCTAATTCTGTCTTACTATCCGCTTCTTAGAGGGTCCAAACTAACACAGTGACTACCGGGAGTGACCCAAGAAGGCAGACAAGAAGATGGGGTCTTGGGGCTGGATGATGCACGCCCAGGCTGGCACGGAGGACCCCATCTCCAGGGATGTGTGGACACAGGACTAGCTCAAGGTGGCTGCCTAGCTGGTAACGATTTCGCGGGTGGTAATCTGAGAAAATGTCTCAGTGGGGGGGGGGGGGGCGCTCTCTAGATGTTACGGTGGCTGCTAGAAGCCCACAGAACGAGATGGCCCATGCTTAGCATGCTGAACGATGGGGATATGCCTGAGTTGCTTTGGGGGACGGTAGAGGAAGGGCGACAGAATGCTCAGGGCAGTGGGTGTGCTGGAGGAGACAGAGCATACAAGGAGAAAGGCCCACCCAAGGAGTGGGTTCCATCAGAAGGCCCGGCGGGCCCACGGTCCACCGAGCTCACCGGGAATAAGTTGACGGCAGAGGCACCAACAGGAAACGATCGCCGGTGGCTCTTCTCCATGGCCCGAGCTGACCACAGGTGAGGCGCTCACAGAGCTGGTCTCGTTAAAGGAGATTTGTATGATGGAGGCCCAAAAGAACAGAGGCCAGGTGGTAGTGCCTCCCAGGATATGCCACAGTTACGGCAATCCGCAAGGCCAAAGGGGCCTTGACCCACGGGGAGCTGTGGAGCTGCCTCACAGGGCATCATCGTGCCCTGAGGAGCAGAACAGATCCGCAGCCAACGATGGACCTGCCAGACGTCTGCAGTCGACAGAAGGCAAGAACGATAGAGTAAGAGGTCGCCAGAGATCACCCAAATAAAAAAGTCATGATCCTTCTTCCAGTCCCGAGACCGGAACCGACTTTCAGACCCAGAACCCAAGGACTGGAGAAGGGGCCTTGCACACCACGGCTAGTATGTATTGTAACGATCCCTTCAGTCCTCCCCCAAAGACCTACGAGCAATGCTCCAGTCACCGTTCACCGGCCAAAGGGGAATGCCCACACCTTGCAAGTGGTGGTGGACACGGGATTTGAGTTGTCACTGATACTTGGACGCCGGAAGCTTCATCAGGACCTCACTGTTATGGTATGGGCTCACAGGGACCACGAAACCAGTGGAAGTCTGGCTGAGGTCCACCTTAAAGCTGGTCTGCTGGACAGTGGACACATGTGGTGGCCATTTTCCCAGTCCCGGAGATCACAGTTGGGACCAATGTACTTGTCCGTGTGAGTCACCTGCATTAGTCTCCTATTGCTGCTGTAACGAATTGCCACCAGAAAAATAGCTTAAGATGACAAAGATGCATTATGTTATAGTTCTGGAGGTCGGCTGCCCAAAATAGGTCTCGCTGGGCCAAAATCAAGATGTCGGCAATGCCGTGTTGCTTCTGAAGTCTCTGGAAAAGAATCCATTTCCTTGCCCTTTTTAGCTCCCAGAAACCACCCACATTCCTTGGCCTACGACTCCTTCCTCATCCTCAAAGCCAGAAGGCGCATCCCTCCAGCCTCCCCTCGGTCACCGCCCCCCCTTCCCTAACTCTCCTGCTTCCTACTGTCCTCATAAAGACCCTTATGATTATATTGGGTCCACCCAGAGAGTCTAGGATAATCTCCCCACATCATGGTTCTGAACTCAGTCACATCTGCAAAGTCCCTTTTGCCTCGTAAGGTAACATCATCCTAAATTCTGGGGATTAAGATATGAACATCTTCAAGGAACCACCTTTCTGCCTGGCATCCCCCAACCCTGAGTCCCTAGCCTGTAGAGCAAGTGCTGTCATGGTGAAGAGGGTCAAGTAGAACCCTCTGAAATTGTTCCCTTAGCAGTTCATCAAAAACAGTATTGGATCCAGGGACAATTCCAGAGATCTCAGGGCAACAGGGTTGGAGACCTTATCATATCTAGGTTTAATTCACCAGCACGGACCTTCCAAAATCTAGATAGATCCTAGGGAACAACTATAGACTCCCACAAGCCCAATGAAGTACTAACCTTGGTTGCATCTGCCCTGCAGATTGAGGCATTATTGCTAGAACAAATTAATAAAGCTTTGGGCCCAAGGTATGGTGTCATTGATTTGGCAAATTCATTATTTTCTATTCCAACCAGAAACAAACATCCAAAACAGTTTGCGTTCCCAAGGATCAGACAACGGTATTAATTTACAGTTTGCCTCAGGGCCATGTCAACTCTCCTGCTCTCTATTGCCATGTAGTCTTAAGAGACCTGAAGAACCTGGGCCTCCCATGGAACACCACCCTGGTCCATTACATTGATGACACCATGCTGATCAGACAAACGGATGATCAAAACGGATCAAAAAGGATGAACAAAACGGGCGAGTACTCTGGAGCCTTAGTAAGATACTTGCAATCCCAGGGTGGGAGACAAATCCCATAAAGATTCAGGTACCTGCTCTTTTGATAAATTTTTCGGAGTCAAGATGCCAAGGAAATACTGGGATTTTACCTCCAAAGTAAAAGACAGATTGCTACACCTTATATTAGCCAGCTAAAGAAGGAAGGTAGACCTTTTGGGGTGCCACATCTAGGGACACTGCTCTGGTCCACATACTGGTTGACGCAGAAGGTCACCGAGTCAAGTGCAACTCAGAGCAGAAAAGAGCTTTGGGCAGTCCTGCCACGCGGGCCAATCTGGCAGACCATATGATGTTGGACGTGTCTGGGGTAGCAGAAGGTGCGGCATGGGGTTCGTTGCAAAGGCCCATTGGAAAAATCATAAGCGGGTCTCAGGGGTACTGGACTTTCGAGAAAAGCTCACGATGTATAATTGGACCCTGGTAGACAAAGAGTGCTTGATTATGGAACATCAGGTGAACATGTGTCCATAGCTGTCCGTTACGAGCTGGGTTCTCCAAGTCATAAAATCAGATGCGCTCAGCAGTAGTTCAATGGTAGTTGAAAATGACCGACCCAAGACTGAGTCTGACAGGACCAAGGGGCGCGAGACAGGTGCATGAGTGGGGAACCCAGGTGCCCAAGCCCCCCACCACAATTTTCTCAGCCCATAGGGGACCCATATGACCAACTGAAGGGGGAAAAAAGGTCGAAGCTTGGTTCACTGCTGGGTCAGCTTGGTGTGGGGACACAAGCTGAAAACGGACAGCTGCCACATGAGAGCCACATGCAGGGGCGGTCCTGAAAGGCAAGGTAGAGGGGGCGGTGGCCAAGAGGAAAACATCCAAACTCCTGAGCAGGGGCCAGCAGTCCGTCTTGCCGCCACAGGACCCAAAAGGAGGAGGGTTGGAAGGTTGGAGCCCGAGAAGTCTCGGCAGAGAGGCGCGTAGTAGATGAACGTGGAAATGGGCGAAATACATGGTGATTTTTTATGACCCAGGAGTGCCCACCAGAGAGCGTCCACCGTGGAAGAGGTGGCCAGCAACAAGCTAGACAAAACGACTGGGCTAGTTGGCTCTAGCCAGCCTTCGTCATCGGCCACCTCAAAACTGGCACAGTGGGTGATGGAATGGAGTGGCGGAGGATCTTCATGGGCCCATCTGCCTGGACTCCCACTGACCATGGCCGGCCTCATCGTGGCCACCTCTGAATGTCCAACCCGCGTCAACAGAGCTCAGCACTAAGTGTAGGGACGGACCCTCTTCCTTGAGGAGACCAACAGGACGCAGTGGCAAGGTGACTATTTTGAACCCTTCCATCCTCAAAGGGTCGGCTACTCATCCTCTCTCTGGGCTTCAGGGTCCCATTTCCTGTCACAGACCAGTCCTTACTCAGCTCAGACGGATCTATTTTTTTTAATGTTTATTTATTTAATGGGGGGGGGGGGCAGAGAGAGAGAAAGAGAGGGACCCTGAACGGGAGAGGACCAGAGAGAGGGTCGCAACTAGGATCCACGCTCAATGTGGAGCCCAACACGGGGCTTGATCTCATGACTGTAGATCTCGGCCTGAGATCGATCAAGAGTCGGACGTGTAACCTACTGAGCCACCCAGGCGCCCCCCGGGCTCAGCTGTTGAAATAGTTCTGCTATTTTTGCAACTTTTCCCCCCCCCCTTCGTCCTTTATCTTTTGTTCAAGATGACACCAAGCACAGCTAATAAAGTTTGGTTTCCCCACCACGCGGACGGGTCTGGCCAGCGAGAGGTGGTCCCTGAGTGAAAAGGCAAAGGCTCAGTGGGAAAGTGCCTCTTTGTGGTCCCCTCGGCCCTTCCCCTGGGCCTCACCCCTCTCTTCACGCAAGGATTACAGAAAAGCAGCCTGGGGGGTTGAGAAGCCAGCTCGGGACCTTGAGGCACCAACCACATAACATGGTAGAAATAGCTGTAGCCCCTGGTTATGTCTCTGAGCCCCCAGACGAGCCCGGGCCTGCCTACTCCGGGGCCGTCCATACGTAAATCCGAACTCTGCTTCAGCCGCTATGGGAGTCTTAGAGGCTGACCTCCGTCCCCTGAAACAACATGTATTGTGGTCCTAACTCCCAGTATCTCAGAATGTGACCTTATTCCGAGACAGGGTCTTTACAGAGGTCAAGTTAAAATGAGGTCATCAGGGTGGGCCCTAGTCCAGTATGACTGGTTGTCCTTATAAAAGGGGGAAATTTGAGTGCAGAGACACACGGAGAGGGAAGACAGTGGCAACCCGGAACGGGTCCTCCCTCCCAGCCGTCAGAAGGAACCGGACCTGACTTCTCGCCTCCAGAATCGGGAGACGGCACGTTCCTGTTATGTAAGCCCCTCAGCCTGAGGTCCTTTGTCCACCCGGGCAAAGGGATACAGGAGGGTTTTGTGTTATTTGAAACTGGACGTGTCCCCGAGGACGCGGCCAGACAGCCTCCGGCTCCGCCCCTCCCCCGCATCACCCCACGGGCGACCTCCACAGTCACCTGATACGATCCAGCGTTTGGAAAACTCTCCCTGGTCCGGGTGGCTGTTCAGTGAGCTGCACACGTAGCCACTACATTGTATTCAAACTTCAAGAGCCATCGAGAACCTCGGGACAACCAGGGAGATTCTCAGAGGCCTTAGCAGGAGGCAGGGGCTTGCTTCCTTCCTCTCACGTGGGGGCATCCCCCCCCCTTTTTTTTTTTTTTTTTTTTAGTTTATTTACTTATTTGAGAGCGAGAGTTGGGAGGGGAGGAGAGATAGGGAGAGAGAGAGAATCCTAAGCAGGCTTCATGTTGCCGGCACGCAGCCCAATGCGCGGCTCGAACTCACGAAACCATGAGATCCTGATCTGAGTCTAAACGAAGGGTCGGACGCTTAACCGACTGAGCCACGCAGGCCCCTGGGGGCATCCCGTTCTTAACAGCTCAACCTGCCTGTGGTTGAGCGGACTGCCCGTGGCCGTGACTGCCCGTGGCCGCGAAGCTATCAGAACCTGATTTGATAAGCGGCCCAGGGGGATGTGTTTCTTCATCCTGCCCATCCCGTGCGCCAAAACCCTGCAGACTTCTCTATTTCAAGAAGCTCCTAAGTTTGACTGATTACCTTTGGAGGTTGGTTTGGATGCAATTCCAACCATTAAGGAAGGATCAATTGGGTTGCCCTGGAAGGGACTTCGTTCTGGTTTCCAAATTCAATACGTGGCCGAGTTCTACCAAGAACTCGCACTCCTGGCCTACCCACTCTTGTAGTGAGCTAGCTGGCAGGGCCCAGCCTTACCAAGCAGAGGGCAAGGTATTGTGGCAGTAAATCCGAAATCCCATGCCTCCCAGCATTTACTCCGTCCCCAACTTCTCATAAATCTTTGAGGGAAATTTAAGGTGGTTTTTCTCCCTAAAAGGGAAATATGGATTGGAGGTTTTCATTCATTTTGATCTTGGCTTCGGAGCGGGGTTTGGAATCCGACTGGCACGCCATCCCAGCTGTGTATTAATGAAGACTGAGCTCTTGAAATTAAACTTTTATGACAATAACACACTGATGTACAAGCTCCTACAAGAGAAGATCTAAAATACTGCTACTCATAATGCATGGATCTTAAAAGCTTCCTGGTAACAACTGTCGGTCTTTGATATTTAATTAACCCCAGCCAGATCCAGTATAACATAGGCTCTTTAGCAAGTCCTAATAGTTACTAATAAAATAGTCATGTGTTTATTTATTCTTTGCCGTCATTTAGATGCAGTTAGCAATGCTTTTTTGTTCTCGGTTGTCACATTTCCTGAGTCTGGGGGTCAAATGTGCTCCCAATAGATGCACAGCATGGCTTACTGTGCTTTGGTGGATAAACCCACTTACACGTTACCTTGTGAGTGGTCCTTACCCTGACACACTTCAGGGTCTAGACCAAGCCTATCCATCGTGCAGCGTTTGGGGAATGCGTTCAACGTGTCTGCCTCTTGTTCCCAACGTCTTGTATTTCAGGGCTACCTAGTTTTGCTCTTCCTTGTAATTATTGTTTGCTGATTATTTGCGTCTCCTACGCTTTGGCATTTAATCTTCTTTCTCATCTTCGAATTCTCTTCTAAAGTGTCACTATCATTTTTCCCCCGGCTTCCACAGCTTAGCTGTCGTCAGAAAACTTTCAGGCCAATTTTCAGAAGCTACAGTTCCACGCTTCTTAAAAATCTTCAGCCTTCGACGGCGTAAATCAATGCTCGGAAACACAAGATTTGTATTAAAAAAAAAAAAAAAAAAGCACTCTGGGGCACCTGCGTGGCTCAGTCAGTTAAGCGTCCGACTTTGGCTCAAGTCGTGATCTCACGGTCCGTGAGCTGGAGCCCCGCGTCAGGCTCTGTGCTGACAGCTGGGAGCCTGGAACCTGCTTCCCATTCTGTGTCTCCCTCTCTGTTCCTCCCCTGCTTGTGCTCTGTCTCTCTCTCTCTCTCTCTTTCATCAATAAATAACCATTAAAAATTAAAAGAAAAAACACACTCTGATTCTCTGTAGTGATTTTAGAATAGGTGGCAAATGTTTAACCTGAAATGTGGAATTTCTAAACTTAATTTCAAAAAAAAAAAAAGTGAAGCAAGTGAACCCTCAGAAAACACACAAATGGAATGTTTGCCTGTCACTCATTAGGATCAGTATATGTATAAGTCGACAATGGAGGTTTTCAGATAATCTAATTGTATACTCATTGGTTGGAACAATTATGTAAACGCCACACTCAGAAGAAAGCTAGGAAACATTTTCAAGCTACACACACATGCGCGGGCGCGCACGCAACTTTGAATGAAAAATGCAAGCACTTTGAGTCTCTTTCTGGACATTCACCTGTTTATAAGACTGGCTGGCTGTCTTAGCTTTGCTTCCAAATGCATAATTTGCCCCTTGGAAAGGGGCTTTATAATGTACATAGTCAAGATGAACCTAAAGCACATTGTTTCAGGTTGTGTACAAACCACGTCCCCGTCTTCCTCTTGAAGAGCAGCTCTTTCCTTATTTGAAGTTCACCCACAACGCACTCAGCCATTCCCTGGGGTTTTTCCTCGAGCTCCCGCGAGAGCCCGGGAGGTGAGCCTCAGAAGGTTTGATTATCAGTCAGAATATTACTGGGCACAGGCACAAAGGCTTCTTTTTCCTGGACTGGCTTTTTTTCCTATCTACCCTCCCCTGGTGGGAAAAAATTCTGTGATGGACAAAAATGTATTAAAAAAAAAAAAAAAAAAAGAGGGACATGACTTCGAATAGCCCGGTTCATAGAGACAGAAAGTAGGAGAGTGGTCACCAGGAGCAGGGGAGGGAAGTCATGCAGAGTTTCCATGTGGGCAGGTGACAAAGTTCTGGCGATGATGGTGGGGGTGGTCACACAACACTGTGAATGTACTTAACGCCACTGCCTCGTACGCTAAAAAATGGTTAAAATGGCAAGTTTGGTGCTGTGCATATTTTCACACAGTCGTTTTGTTAAACAGGGGGACATGTTAGTAAAATAACACCTAGACATTATGCTCTGAGACAGTGTTAGAAGGTTTGGCCGTCTTGTCCACGCTGCTCTCTGTAGACTCAGACACGCTCTCCTAGAGTGCCGCACAAGTGTGCCTCCCACCAGTAGGGGGTATTAGAGCTGCAAGGACTTCAGGCTTCTGCACTGTGGAGGAAACAACCAACAGATCTAAAAGATGACCTACCGAATGGGAGAAGATATTTGCCAATGACGTATCCGACCAAGGACTGGAAATCAAAACATATAAAGAACTTACAAAACTCAACACCCCAAACGCAAACAATCTCATTTAAAAATGGGCAGAAGACAGGAAGAGACACTTCTCCACAGAAGACATCCAGATGGCCAACAGACACACGAAAAGATGCTCAACATCGCTCGTCATCGGGGAAATACAAATCAAAACCACGATGAACTATACAACCTCACCCATGTCAGCATGGCTAAAATCAACGACACGGAAACAACAGATGTCAGTGGGGACGTGGAGAAAGGGGAACCCTCTTGCACTGCTGCTGGGAATGCAAACTGGTGCAGCCCCTCCGGAAAGCAGTGTGGAGGGTCCTCAAAAAGTTAAAAATAGAACTACCCTATGATCCAGTAATCGCACTACTGGGTATTTACCCAAAGTATACAAAAACACTAATTCGAAGGGATACATGCACCCTAACGTTCACAGCAGCACCATCTATAATAGTCAAACTATGGAAGCAGCCCAAGGGTCCACTGACTGATGATGTGGTATATCTATATCTGTATCTATATGTGTATCGTCTATATCTATATCCATAGATATAGATATAGATGTAGGTCTCTAATGGAATATTACAAAGCCATCAAAAAGAATGAAATCTTGCCATTTGCAATGACATAGACGGAGCTACAGAGTACCATGCTAAGTGAAATAAACCAGTCAGAGAAAGACAAATACCATACGATTTCACTCATATGTGGAATTTAAGAAACAAATGAGCAAAGGGGAAAAAAAAAACAAACAGAGAGAGACACAAACCAAGAAACAGACTCTTGACTAGAGAACACATTTCTGGCTACCAGAGGGAAAGGGGGTGGGGGGGATGGGTGAAATAGGGGGCGGGGACTAAGGAGGGCACCCGTTGTGATCAGCACCAGGTGACGCACGATGTGTCAAATCGCTGTCTGTGAACTAACTGGAATTAAAATAAAAGGAACAAATAAGTAAGTAAAAGTCATTGAGAAAAGAACAAGA